TTCCTCCCCTCCCATGAAACCCTCGGCTTCTTTCTTCCTTCGGTTTCCCCTTTCTTCCTTGCACAGATCCCGGCCATCCCTTTCCCGCTATCTGGAAGCTTGGGTTGCCGACAGCCGTGCAAAAGACCATCCCCACGAGCCACCATGACCCACGCTGGCAAGTGAGCATCGGAACCAGAGAGAGGAAAGCCAGATCTACCAACCAGCGATGGCGGTGGTGTGCACGCGGAGCTTCGACGAGTTGGCAAAATCCCGATCTCCCTGCAACTGGAATAGATTTGCAGAGGAAATCTATGCACGAGTGGGTGACGACCGGATGAATTGGGCGTGGATTTAAGGCCCAAATGCATTTTGCAGAGTTTGTAAAAAAGGTAAAGACCAGAGAGGCCCAAATGCATTGCAAAATTCTGGTGATTGGAGGAGCCCAAAACCGTGGACACAGAAAAGCCCGGAGAGTGATTTCTGGAAGGTTCCTGGTTGGGATTTTTAGGGTTTTTAGGGTTGGTTTTGGTTTGAGTATAAATAGAGGACTTTAGGTTAGAAAATGGGGTTCTTTTGTTTTTGGAGGCTGGGTGTTGAGAACGGCGGCAGAAAAGGAGAGGAATTTTGCGGAGCCGGTGATTTGGGTGAAGATTTAGGGTCTGCTTTTGTAGGTAATTTCTTTGAACAGAGGAGTTTTCTGGGAACGGTGGTGAAGGGGACGATGGGAGCCTGGTCTCGTGGGTGGGATCCCTCCCATCAGATCTGGATCCATTTTTCCCAGAAAATTCCGCCGTGAATGTGTTGCCCTTTGGGTTGATTTCTCTATTTTTTTTTTATGTTTAAGGTTATATGTATTCCTGAAGAAATGAATGAAAAATCATATCTTTGCCTGTTTATTTGCCTGATAAGTTTGTTCATGATGAACCCTAATTTTGCTAAGTTGTTTGCATGTTTGATTTTCTTTTTTTGGTTATTTGACGTTCGGGTTGTGTTTCTTTGTTCGGGTCAATCAAATCTAATTTTAAAAAATACATAATATAAATAAAAGGAATTAATTAATTAAGATAATTGATTTGATTCATGATTAGTAATATTAATTAATTTTAATTAAAATAAATTAATCATATTTATTCATTTTTATTTAAGATAATTATATTATCTTGATTAAAGATTAATAATATGATTAATTAATTTTAATTAATTTTAATTAGTGTTAAATTAATTATTTAATTAAGTTAATTATTGTATTAATTAATTTAAATCCTTGACTTCCGTTAATTACCTTCTCATTTTAATTTTACCCAAAACTTTTATAATTAAGCAATTCAGTCCATGGGTTTCAACTCTTTTCAAATCAATTCTTCATGTTTTGAATCTTAATCAAATCAGTACTTTATGTTTCGAATTTAATCAAATTAGTCCCTTTACTTTTTATTTCGTGCTTATTGTGCATGCATGTTCTTGATTTTATCTATTTTTGTCCAAGAGTTTAAAAGATGTGACAATTTGGTCCATCTGTTGTTTCAAACTTACTTTTTAAGACTTAAGTAAATAGGTAATGAATAAGTTGAATTAAAATCCCCAATGTTAAAGTATGCAATCGTGTTTAAACGGAGGATTGTGAGGTGCGCGTATGCCCTTCCTCACTCCTAACCGCACCCCCGAACCCCGATCTCTGCGCAGACTTGTTTTAGGTGACTTGTCCCACCTTATAATTTGGATGAGTGGCGACTCCCTTCTTTTTATATTTTCACACTTAATTCCTTTTTTAAGTGGTCGTCAACAGGACCATGTTGCTAAAAATCCTTTGACTGGTAGCTCACCCCTTATATATACACCTTTCCATTAGCAATATATACACACCTCTCACACTTCTCAATTTCTTGTTATTTCTCCCTTACTCTTGCAATTCACTTTTTTTATCCTCACATAATTATTTTTATATTATAATTTAAAAGTAATAATTGTTATAAATTTCAAACTCTTTTTTCTATTGCTTAATGGAGAGTCAACAATATTTTGATAACCAATTGAAAAGTCAAGAATATTTTGACAACCAATTGGAAAGTCAAGATTATTTTAACAATCAATTGGAAAGTCAAGAATATTTTGACTGCCAATATAATAGTATAATTTTTTTTTCCTTCTCTTATTTCTCATTTCCCGTTTGTGCACCTCATTTACTATCATATTACTTAACTTTATATTATTTTACACAAGAATCGTTGAGGATACTTCTGAATTATTATGGAATTGCCCATCTGAAAGTCCTCCCAAGAGGAAGTTGAAAAAAGCAAAGAATAATGTATCAACTGACCAACACATTCCACTGCCTAATATTGTAGACTACTCTGTTTGTCAAATATGTGATACTCCTAGTCATTTAGCTACAGTTTACCCGCACCGATATGCTGTAACTTGTCAACTGTGTAACTGTGAGGGTCATATTGCAAAAATTTGCTCGAATCATTATCGATTACCATTTTTGTCAAATTCACCCAAAACCCCTACTGAGTCCTCTGAAACAATTACAAAGATTTTTGGTAGTAGCTCTTAATTTATAATCTAAAAATTAATTATCAAGCAAACTATCCCCTTCCTTAGCTCTCCCTCACCCCTCCTCCTCCTCCTCCTTCCATGTTTTCCTTCCTTTGTTCTCCCTTTATTAGTGTTTAGTTCATCTCCCTTCCTTGCCTTCTTCCTTGCCCTCTTCCTCTCTTATATCCTTTTCTTTGATGAAAACCAAGATCTTGGTTCAAGAAGCCAAGTGTTCCTTCAATGATGACAAGATTTCCGATCTCACCATGAAGGAATCCAACCAACAAAAATATAATCTGAGTACATCCAATGTAGGGAACCCAATTAGCAATTGCTAACTCAATATTTCTTATGGTTTTGTTGAAATTTTTTGAATTTTTTTGTTATAAATTGTTGAGATTAATGGAGAAAATGATGAGTTTGTTTTTGTATTTAGTTATGATGATTGTGTGTGAGAAAGAGGTGTGTTTAAAAAGCCTAAATCATATCTAAGCAACACAAGTAATTGTTAGAATATATAAGAGATGAGGAAGAAAGAAAAAATAGAGGTTGAAATTTTTTGGTTTTGCTCATATCTAAATTTTGATTTTGTGTGATTAGAAAATGCTTTTGGCACATGCTCTTTTGTTTATACAAAATTAATTACTAGATTAGGTTTTACTTGTTTTTCTTTTTCTTTTTCTTTTTTTTTCCCCTAAAAATTGCTTGGAGGGGAAGACAAGAAAGAGGTGTGGAGAAGAGAGGTTGGTAGAGAAAGATTATTGTCAGTGTCAGAGGGGGGTGAAGGGAAAGAAGCGAGAAGAATGTGAACTAGAAGGCTAAAAAGAAGAAGAAGAAGAATGGGAACTAGGGACGAAGACAATGGATAAAGTTGTGAATTTACTTTATTAGGGTTAATGGTTGGTTGGAAAAAGACTTACATTTTTAAATGAATTGCCTTAATTGATATGCAATAAAAAGGGACCTAGTAATTTTTGTAATTTTTAACTACAAAAATGCACATGTGAATGACATATAAGCAATAATATTGACATTTAATTTCCACACGTAATATTAAAATTAGAAGTGTGAATTTGTGGCAACTTAACATGACAACTGGGGACCCGGTTAATGGAAGGACGAAGTTGGTAATGGAAAATTAAAATTTGGGGATATTTTTGGTACTTTTTGAAGTTTAAAGATTAACTTTGCCTAAAAATTAAAGTTTAGGGAGCCAAAAGTGGTGATTTAACCTTTTCTAACTGACTAGCTAACTGAATGCCCGATTTTCTCTCCCAGATGGTGCGCGCCTATTTTCGAATGGAGCAGATATGGGCATTCTGGGTATTTTAACCATTAAAATGGCTTGGTGGGCCCATGACTTTTTTTTTTACTATTAACTGTAAACAGTCATCCTTTTTTTCACTCCTTTTAAAGGAAGATTTTCATAAGATCCCCAATATCTCTAGGAATATCAATTAAGTCCATCATGGAATTCTCTTTCTTTTTAATTTTGCTAAATACTACCTTCATTCATTTTTAATTGTCACAGTTATTAAATAAACTGGTGGCAGTGTCTGCTACTGCTGCTGCTTCTTCTTCCTCCCTCCTTTTTTTTTTTCTTCCTTCCTTGCCTTCCAGTGCCTAGAGTCCAGAAAGAATGGAACCGGCCTTGCTGCAAATAATGGGGAAACATACCCTTTTCTCACCAACTCGTCATATTGATCTAAGATCATAGGAACC